CTCCGAAGCTTTCCCCCTCCGCCACCCGCAGTCTCTGCCCGCGAAGGGGCTTCCTAGTGTGTGGAAACCTTTCCTCCTTTACAGCTCCCTCCCACTGGTAAAGGGCCCGTCCCTATCCTTTTGTCTCTGTTTATTCTTTTTTCTTTTGCCCTACCCATGTACGTGGGGACTTTCTTGCCTTTTGGGAGGTCTGAGGTCTTCTGCCAGCGTTCAGCAGATGTCCTGTAGGAGTTGTTCCACATGTAGATGTATTTCTGGTGTATCTGTGGGGAGGAAGGTGATCTCCGCATCTTACTCTTCCGCCATCATCCCCTCGTCCAAATTTCATTCTTTTTAATGGCTGAGTAATACTCCATCTTAAATATGTACCACATCTTTGTCCATTCATCTGTTGATGGACCTTTAGGTTGCTTCCATGTCTTGGCTATTGTAAACAGCACTGCAATGAACATTGGGGGTGCATGTGTCCTTTTGAACCATGGTTTTCTCAGGATATATGCTGTGGAGTAGGATTGCTGGATCATATGGGAGCTCTATTGTTAGTTTTTTAAGGAACCTCCCCACTGTTCTCCATAGTGGCTGTATCAATTTACATTCCCACCAACAGTGTAAGAGGGTTCCCTTTGCTCTACACCCATTCCAGCATTTATTGTCTGTAGATTTTTTGATGATGGCCATTCTGACTGGTATGAGGTGATATCTCATTGTAGTTTTGATTTGCATTTCTCTAATAATTAGTAATGTTGAGCATCTTTTCATGTGCCTCTTGGCCATCTGTATATCTTCTTTGAAGAAATGTCTGTTTAGGTCTTCTGCCCATTTTTTGATTGGGTTGTTTGTTTTTTTGATACTGAGCCACGTGAGCTGTTTGTAAATTTTGGAGATTAATCCCTTGTTGGTCACATCATTTGCAAATATTTTCTCCCGCTCTGGGTTGTCTTCTCATTCTGTTTATGGTTTCCTTTACTATACAAAAGTTTTTGAGTTTAATTAGGTCCCATTTGTTTATTTTTGTTTTTATTTCCATCACTCTAGGAGAAGGATCAAAAAAGATCTTGCTGTGATTTATGTTAAAGTGTGTTCTGCCTATCCAGTCTTACGTTTAGGTCTTTAATCCATTTTGAGTTTATGTTTTTTTAATGCTGTTAGAGAATGTTTTAATTTCATATTTTTTACATGTAGCTGTCCAGTTTGCCCAGCACCATTTACTGAAGAGACTGTCTTTTCTCCATTGTATAGTCTTGCCTCCTGTGTCAATTGACCATAGGTGCGTGTGTTTCTTTCTGGATTTTTTATCCTGTTCCATTGATCTGTATTTCTGTTTTGTGCCAGTACCATGCTGTTTTGATGACTATGACTTTGTAGTATAGTCTGAAGTCAGAGAACCTGATTCCTCCAGCTCTGTTTTTCTTTCTCAAGATTGCTTTGGCTGTACAGGGCCTTTTGTGTCTCCATACAAATTTAAAATTTTCTTGTTCTAGTTCTGTGAAAAATGCCATTGGTAATTTGATAGGGATTGCATTGAATCTGTAGATTGCCTTGGGTAGTATAGTCATTTTGGCAATATTGATGCTTCCAATCCAAGAACATGGTGTATCTTTCCATCTGTTTGTGTCATCTTCGATTTCTTTCATCACCATCATAGTTTTTGGAGTAGTTGCCTCCTTAGGTAGGTTTATTTCTGGGTATTTTACTCTTTTTGATGTGATGGTAAATGGGATTGTTTTTTTAATTTCTCTTTCTGATCTTTTATTGTTAATGTATAGAAATGCAACAGATTTCTGTGTATTAATTTTGTATCATGCGACTCTACCGAATTCATTGATGAGCTCTAGTAGTTTTCTGGTAGCATCTTTAGGATTTTCTATGTATAGTATCATGTCATCTGCAAACAGTGACAGTTTTACTTCTTCTTTGCCAATCTGGATTCCTTTTATTTCTTTTTTGTCTCTGATTGCCATGGCCAGGACTTCTAAAACTATGTTGAATAAAAGTGGTGAGAGTGGACATCCTTGTCTTGTTCCTGATCTTATAGGAAATGCTTTCAGCTTTCCCCCATTGAGTATTATGCTAGCTGTAGGTTTGTCATATATGACCTTTATTATGTTGAGGTAGGATCCCTCTACATCAACTTTCTGGAGAGTTTTTATCATAAATCGGTGTTGAATTTTGTCAGAAGTTTTTTCTGCATCTGTTGAGATGATCATATGGTTTTTATTCTTCAGTTTGTTGACATAGTGTATCACTGATTTGTGGATATTGAAAAATCCTTGCATCCATGGGATAAATGCCACTTGATCATGGTGTATGATCCTTTTAATGTGTTGTTGGATTCAGTTTGCTAGTATTTTGTTGAGGATTTTTGAGTCTATGGTCATCAGTGATATTGGTCTGTAATTTTCTTTTTTTGTGGTATCTTTGTCTGGTTTTGGTATCAGGGTGATGGTGGCCTCATAGAACGAGTTTGGAAGTGTTCCTTCCTCTGCAGTTTTTTGGAAGAGTTTCAGAAGGATGGGTGTTAGCGCTTCTTCAGTGTTTGATAGAATTCGCCTGTGAAGCCATCTGGTCCTGGATTTTTGTTTGTTGAAAGTTTTCTAATCACAGTTTCAATTTCAGTACATGTGATTAGTCTGTTCATATTTTCTGTTTCTCCTGATTCAGTCTTGGGAGATTGTACCTTACTAAGAATTTGTCCATTTCTTCTATTAAATACATTTTATGCAACAATTTGAGAGAGAAGGTAGGTCAAAATAACTCAGCCTGCCGTATATCTGGAAATGGCTGATCCACCTCCCAACTTTGGTTAGTTCTAGAATGTCTATATTATTATGGCTAATAACATTTACTTTCTGTTTTGTAGCCATATTTCCCACAATTTTGTTACCCTTAGGTCTACATTGAAGGGATTTAGTGCTTAATCTCCTTGCCACTGATCCATTCTTTTCCTGGTTGGCTGAAGTTCATTCTATTGGACTTCCAGAATTCCTTCCAGAAGAGCTCTTAGGAGGTATATTCCCTGAATTTTGTATGTTCAAAGACACTTGGCTGTTGCTTTATTTTTTTCAATGACAGTTTAGGCATAAAATTAATGGATCACCCTTTCTTTCCCTGAAACTCTTAGATGCATGCTTCCTCCATCTGCTCTGAAGAAATCAGAAGCTGGCTTATTTCTTTTTTCCTTGTGAGTGACATGACTCTGTATCCTATTAATTATGTCTTAATTCTGATGGGTCTGATTCATTTCACCCAGGGAAACAGTGTACACTTTCAATCCATAGACTTAACTCTTTCAGAAAAGTTTTTACAAAATAAATCTGGGTATCTTTTCTCTCATTACTATTTGTTCAGATCCCGTAAGTGACACCATTTATGTATATGTTGTATCACCTTTGTCTGTGGTCTTTGGCATTTACCGTTGAACTTCTCCTCATTTCCCTCAAGCTGGTCCCCACATCCCTGACTGTGTTCGGTACCGTCTTGGTACCATAAAGCCATGGTTTATCACCCAGTGTTTGTTGGGAGGATTATGGTGCTTTTAGATGGTTAAATTCACTCCTTCAATAATAGTAGTTGTGAAGCAGTAGCAGCTAACACGTATTGGTCACTGTGTGCCAGGCTCTATGCTAAGAGATTAACAGATAATCTCTCCCTGAACCCTCACATCATCTCCTCTCTACAACTTAAAGAAGTTAAATAACTTGTGTGCTCTCAGAGCTTGTAAGCGCAGAGCCTGGTTGGATATACAAACAGCCTGACTTCGGTGCTTGTGCTCATTGTATGGTCTGTATTTCTAGTGAAGGTTGTGTTCTATTTTACATTCAACAGGCTGTTAATATTTCCATAAATGAGAGCTGATGTAGAAATGGCACTTTTAAGTCTGTTCCTTGATCGGTGGCTCTTTCCTATCCCAGTTTCCCCATAGTTTCAAGTTGCTGTATTTTCCATACAGCTGTGGTCGACAAGGGATCGAACCTGGGCCCTCTGCATTGGGAGCGCGGAGTCTTAACCACTGAGTCACCAGGGAAGTCCCACAAGTGACTTTTAATCATTGTTATCTATATTCTGGGAGCTCCCCATACATTATTTTATTTAGTCCTCATAACCGTGCTATGAGATGGGCCTTGTTTTCTCCCACTTTACAGACAGAGAAGTTGAGGTTCAGAGAAGTCAAGTGACTTGCACGAGTCCCAGAGTATTGGTATTTGTACAAAACCCAGAGCAGATACTCCAAGTTCATGCTCTGCCCATCTTCGACTGCCAACTCCCTCACTGGCCTCTGGCAATACAGCACCACCCCCATCAGCTTCCTTACAGAACAATCAATATCTGTCCCTCAAACCACTGTGTCTTGGGTTTTCCTTCTGGGTGTCACTTTCCAAGCCAGTTTGACTCTCTGAATGAATTATTAGAAAATATTTTGGTAGCAGGACCTTTGTGTCTTTCATGGAGGGACGTTACTGACCCCACACTGATGCGTGAAGGATGGTCACCTTCATTGTCTGTTTCGCCCACAGCTGAACGAGTTCTGTTACAGGATTCTGGCAAATTTGAAGCAATGAATGTGTTCTTTGAAAAGATTTTCACCATCTTCTCATGTTAGGCCTTTATAAATTGAAAAGAAGCCTAAAAGCACAGGAAAGTTGACATCCCCTGGGTAACAGTGGCCCAGAAACACCAGCAGCAGCCATACTTCCAAGGCCTGGGAACAGCATATGGCAGCTGAAGACCCATATTTGAGTGACTGTAACTAAATGATGCGATGGTTAAATCTGTAACACAGGTCACCCACCCTCACACGCACGCACGCACCACCACCACACCTGTGCGGTTAGAGGATCGTATTCAGAAAGTTTACAGTAAATGAAACTTGGGCTGTGCAGCAACTTAACCACTCTCCTGTCTCTATCCCGCTCTCCAGGGGACTCAACAGCTCCTGAGGTCAGTGTCTTGTACGAGTTCACGGAGATGGTGATCAGACATGATCTTGTGGTTTATTGCAGGGAACTCGTAAGCCAAACCCTCCTCAGAAGCCTCTGCCTGCAGATCCTTTAAGCAGGACCACCCGGCTTGCCAGGACCCTGGGACATCAGGAGTCTGGGCTCCGCCGGGCGCCCATCAGGTTGGTGTGATACACCCATGTCCCTCTTTTTCTCCCCAAAACTGTGTGGGTGAAGCTGCACCAAGCCATGCTTCTCAAGCCACAGGAGGACATGGGGGTGGCGCTGGCGGCTGTGTGTCCTGCACTCCCCACCCCTGGGAACAATATAAAACAGACGTGAGGGCGAATCTAGAGAATAAGCAGGAAGCAGCTGGGAGCTATAACTGTAGGCGTCACATGTCACTCTTAGCAATGATCCCAGCCTACCCATGAGATCAACTCAAGATCAAGTAGAACAGATCCCTCAAAGCTGTGCCTGTTGATCTGGGCTGGGTCATGTCCCCCAAGGGAGAGAAAGCCAGCAAGTGGTGCGATATTATGAAAGCTGGACACCTACCTCCAGAAATCCCACTTGGACCTTGATGGCCTCTGCCCAACCCCTGGGATCCCGAGAAACAAGGTGAGGTTGGAGGGTCATGGATGAAATAAGGGGAATGTAAGAAGTCAGGCTAAAGAAGCTGCTGGGCAGGGGTAAGTGGGAGCTTCCCCCTCAGCCGGCACAAGGAATCACCTTTGAAGACTGAGCTGCAGCCGTGGTCATCTCCTACGCCCTCCCCCAAGGGTTGAGGGCACAGCCCTGAATCTGGGCTTGGGCAGCAAGGCTTAACCCAGTGGTGTGCTGGAGCCAGCCCACACTGCTTTGCAAGAACTATTAAATCTCTAGGAATTTTGCAAGCTAGGTGTTAAGCCTAGCCATTCTTAAAAATTATATAAGCTGGCAATGATACCAGTTATATTGAAAACAAAGAAATGCTCGAAGGTCCTCACCTCCATTTTTTTTTTTTTTTTTTTACTATATTTTACTGCAATCCACATTTTTTTAACATCTTTATTGGAGTATAATTACTTTACAATGGTGTGTTAGTTTCTGCTGTATCACAAAGTAAATCAGCTATACGTATACATATGTCCCCATATCCCCCTCCCTCTTGCGTCTCCCTCCCTATCCCATCCCTCTAGGGAGACCGAGCTGATCTCCCTGTGCCATGCGGCTGCTTCCCACTAGCTATCTATTTTACATTTGGTAGTGTATATATGTCCATGCCACTCTCTCACTTCGTCACCGCTTACCCTCCCCCCTCCCCGTGTCCTCCAGTCCATTCTGTACATCTGTATCTTTATTCCTGTCCTGCCCCTAGGTTCTTCAGAACCATTTATTTTTTTAGATTCCATCTATATGTGGCAGCATACGGTATTTGTTTTTCTCTTTCTGACTTCACTCTGTATGACAGACTCTGGGTCCATCCACCTCACTACAAATAACTCAATTACGTTTCCTTTTATGGCTGAGTAGTATTCCATTGTATATATGTGTCACATCTTCTTTATCCATTCATCTGTCGATGGACACTTACTTAGGTTGCTTCCATGTCCTGGCTATTGTAAATAGAGCCACAATGAACATTTTGGTACATGACTCTCTTTGAATTATGGTTTTCTCAGGGTATGTGCCCAGTAGTGGGATTGCTGGGTCGTGTGGTAGTTCTCACAACCCACATTCTTGAGATTACTGTATCTGTCATTCCTATGTGATGAAAATGCCATGCCGTGGTGGCCACTGCACATCTCTTCCAGGTTCAGCCACATCATGTTGGGAGCATGAGTCTTTATACCATGGAAATCAGCAAATCCTATAGATCAGGCCCTCCTCATTCCCCCCAGTGGTGGGTAGTTAAACATTTACCAGCACACAGATGGGTTAAACCCTCAGCCAAAACATCTACCCCCCTGAGCAGGCAGCTTGCTTTGTGAGCTGCAAAGAACCAAAGGTAGGTGTTGGCCAGGCCCTGGGTTCAGTAATTCAGCATCTCTGAAGGGAAACACACACACTCATGATTTCATTACAGCTGTTAGGAAAAATGTTTGGCCCACGAAAGAGATAGCTGCCTAATATAGCTCAGATAAAGCCGGTCAGAGGGTCAGGACAGTGGTTTAATTCCCGACTACACAAGTACAGAAAAACTGCAGAGCATCCTAATTATTTCACTGTGGTTTGTACACTGATCTTGAATGTTCAAAAGGAAAAAAACACCACTTTACATGGACATGAAGAGGGGAAGGGCCTCTCTTTTTATTTTATTGAAGTATAGCTGACTTAGTGTTAATTTCTGCTTTACAGCAAAATGACTCAGTTATACATATATTCTTTTTCATATTCTTTCCATTGTAGTTTATCACAGGATATTGAATATAGTTCCCTGTGCTCTGCAGTAGGACCCTGTCGTTTATCCATTCTACATATAATAGTTTGCATCTGCTAACCCCAAACTCCCACTTCTCTCCCCCACCCTCCCTCGCCCTTGGAAACCACAAGTCTGTTCTCTAGGTCCGTGAGTCTTTTTGTTTTAGTAGATAAGTTCATTTGTGTCATATTTTAGATGCCACACGTAAGTGTTATCAGATGATATTTGTCTTTGGCTTACTTCGCTTAGTATGACAATATCTGGGTCCATCCTTGTCACTGCAAATGGCATTATTTCATACTTTTTTTATGGCTGAGTAGTATTCCATTGTGTATATAACCACATCTTCTTTATCCATTCCTATGTCGACGGACATGGAGGCTTGCTTCCATGTCTTGGCTGTTGTGAATAGTGCTGTAGTGAACACTGGGATGCATGTATCTTTTCGAATTATGGTTTTCTCCAGATAGATGAATGCAGGATCATACGGCAACTTTGTTTTTAGTTTTTTAAGGAACTTCCATACTGTTCTCCGTAGTGGCTGCACCAGTACACACTCCTACCAGCAGTGCAAGAGGGTTCCTTTTTCTCCACACCCTCTCTAGCATTTATCGTTTGTAGAGTTTTTTGATGATGGCCATTCTGACCGGTGTGAGGTGATACCTCATTGTAGTTTTGATTTACATTTCTCTGATGATTAGTGATGTTGAGCATCTTGTCATGTGCTTTTTGGCCATCTGTGTGTCGTCTTTGGAGAAATGTCTGTTGGGGGAAGGCTCTCTTTTTAAATGACCTCAAGCAGCGGCCAGTTGCTGACATCAGTGCAAGCTGGTTTTGGTCTGCTCCTGGAAGGAGAACCCTCTGTATGTTCATTTCCGAGGGATCCCACATGCCCAGCTTTGCTCTGGAGCTGCACTAATACAGTAGCTGCTGGGCACACTGTGGCTGGTGGAAGATAAGATATGCTAGCAATGCAAATACACGCTGGATTTTTTTTTTTTTTTTTTTTTTTGCCACACCTCGCGGCATGCGGGATCTTAGTTCCCCAACCAGGGATTGACCCCGTGCCCCCTGTCGTGGAAGCACGGAGTCCTACCCACTGGACCACCAGGAAATTCTCCACAGTGGATTTTGAAGAGTCAGTACCCCAACATGTCAACTATCTCATTAATAATTCTGTATGTTGGTGACACATTGAAATACTATTACTCTGGATAGAGTGGGTTAAGTGACACATATGACTAAAGTTAGTTTTAAGCCTGCTACAAAATTTAAAGCTACACGTGAGGCCCACCTTTGTGGCTTTGCACCATTTTTCTGTTGAATGGCCCTCTTCTCTCGTGGATGGACGGGAGCAGTAGCTTTGGAAAAGGTCATAAACGGCTGAAGACGCTGCAGCCCTCAGCGAGGTCCCTTCTGGGATCTGCAATTCCTGCTAAAAGCAAGAGGGGTCTCCAGCCCCCAGGGCCGGGGGTGGGGTCTGATCCTGGAAGCACGTCACAGTGCAAGAAAAGGCATCTCCAACCCGGGCGTCTGTGTCTGCAGAAATCGCTGGCAGGGCCTCTAACTACAGTTTTGTTTCCTACTCTCTGGTTGCTCTTCCTGCAGACCTGCTTCCAAACAGCCCCATCAAGTGCCCAGAGCCACCCACATCGCCTATGCAAAGTGAGAAGCAAGCCAACACCGTTGTTCAACAGTGAAGACAGAAGTTTGCACTATCTCTCTCTCAACTCCAGTTGGAGTTATTTTTTGTACCAACTTTTAGAATTTTTTTAATGTTTCAAACACCATGATTTGAAGAACTTTGAGCTACTGCCGTCGGTGCTGTGCTGTGCTATGGTGCTGTGTATACTTTTACTTGCTCAGGTACTTGTAAATTATTAATTTATGCAGGATGCTTGCTACAGCGCAGTGCGCTGTAGTGGGCGTTTTTTTGTGTGTTTTTTTTTAAAACCATCACTGAGTTTTCCATGGAAGGAAGGCTTTTTGTGCTTTTAATAGTTTAGTGAACTTGAAATATCGTGCTTTATGGGATTCTGGACAGGATGTTTACTTTTTGAAGGAGGCTTTATTGGACAGCAGTTCCCCAGCTACCTATGGCTGTGGTTATGGTACCAGACGCAGCTCAAGAGACCCTAGGTAGAACCTCGAGTGATTTTCTGGAACCCCTGCTCTCAGGCCAGAGCCTGGCTTCTGGTCCAGCCTATGCTTGCTATGCTTGGCTTGCAGGGATAACCTGGGCCCTGTCACAGCTGATAGGCGGGCCCACCAGGGTTATCATCCCTTGAAGCTCTAGGGTAGTAACAGGGAAGGACCTGGCTTCTGGCCAGGAAGCTTTGGAGAGAACCTGGGTTGTGGAAAGGAATTTTAAGGTGGGGCCACACCAGTACAGAGACTGGAACACGAGGCCAGCCAGAAACTTGACCTTGAGCTCACCAGCCCTGAGAGCATTGGGAGAGCAGGCAGAGAAGTTTGCTTTATAGAAACACCAAGAACTTCCTTCCCTGGCTGCCCTTTAAGGAGTGCTGGCATCAGCACCTTATTTAGATTGGGAAAGGTGGTGTTTCTACAAGACAGCTACTGCCCAAGCACTGCAAACCTCCATCTCCCTGTACTGTTTGTTTGGAGCTAAACAAATTACCACCTTGTGTTCTTGACTGTAATACCATGACTCTGTGCTCCGACAGATCGATGAGGCTTTCCGTGGAGCACAACTATTTTCAGATGTGAACCAGTAACCAGATCTAGTGAATCAATTCTGTCGATAAAAATCTTCTTTTACTGCAAGGTTCAACTTATTAAAAATTAGGCAGAATCCCTATGCTTGCAAAAACTGCAACCAAATGGAATGCTGTGTTCACTGGGACAGGTCCTTGTTAGTATACGTTGAACAAAGCACCCTAAGTTACTATTAAGTTCTCTTTGGAGCATCTTATTTTCCCAACTTGGCTGAGGAAATCTTTAAACGATGTTTTTTGGCACAGAGTCTGAATCTATTTCTTAAGCACTTACAACTTACCTGTTGAGCATCATAGAAATGGGATAAGGAAATCCAAGTCCTAATCAATATTCACGAAGTGCAGTCTTGGGCAGCAGCCTCATCAGCCCTTCACTCTTTAGATGTCTGACTGGGGAGCCACTTCCACAAGGAGATCTTGAAGATGCTTGTATCTAAGGGCACGAAAATTACAAAATGACTCAGACAAGGTAAAGTGCCATTATGCCTCTGTCTGTCTTCTAGTGGGGTCATATGCGACTGGTTTTCACATTAGAAGGCAACTGACAGCAGTTCCATAATCCACTCTGTTTTATGATAGGGACTTCATCTGGGGTCATTTCAATGGTTTTTCTACGCCTTGAAGCAGAAAGACAAAACGTACCAAGAATCTTGGTTGGCCTTCCAGAAACGAGTGCATTTAAACTTTCCCCGTGTTCCCACTGTATCCAGGCAACATAGTATTCACGATCGTGGATAAACTCAATAAAATCCATGTCACACACACACACAAAAGGGAACTCGGCTCTAATACATTCCAGCTCTTATAGCATGCAACTGTTCATTATACATTTATTAATTTCTTAAAACTATAAAGCCATGTTAGAAACTATTACTGCTGAGGAGTACATAATTACTATAACTGGTATTATATTTGGTAACTATACTAAGGCCAAAACATACGCTGTTGAAAAGTTTACAGAATTTTTATGGTGCATTATGTGGGTATTGTCTTTGTAGATGCCCAAATCCTTGGATCTGGCATTGTAGCCCCTTCTGCTAGTGCAAGGAAGAGGATGTGAACTTCTTTTTTTGTCTGTCCTTAATTATAATTCCTATGCTTCTATTTCAGAGAACCAGGAGTAGTTTGATATTAAAGGAGATTAATGCTGTGATCTTACATCTCATCATCAATGGCCACTTAAGGGCCACGGCTGATGACACATTCTTATCTCTCTACAGTACTAAGTGCGTCTATAGAGCCATGCAATTTATTTCTGGAAAAGAACATAGTTAAACCTAATATCCCCTTACAATACACAGATAATATTATTAGAGGAACAGTAATTCCAAATGCAATATTTATCAAATGAAGCATATTAAACAATAACTTTCATTTTACTATGACTTAGGAAAGTAACTAATAGCCAGGTTGTTTCGGGTGGGGGAGCTATTCCTCCCCCTTTTTATATCCTCATAGATGATTGATAGAAACAAAAGTTAATGCTTATATTTCAATGGCAGTCTATTTTTAATATTTTTTTAATTGTATAGGCATGAATAATAGAGTTGACGGGGGCTTAGAAGGCCCTCGCTGAGGAAGTCAGCATGCCTCGACACAGAGCAGGCCCTAAGGGTAGTCACTTTCCTTCCTCCATCTTACGAGAGTTGTAGGTTATATGACCCCACTTTACTGGGAAGTAGATGGCTAATCTTCCAGGCATTCTACTGAAAAATTTATCGCCTGAAATTTTGTGTAACAGTTTGTTTTCCTGACACATGGAATCAGATGTGTAGCAACCAAGAGAAACAATACATAACATTTTCCATTGTCAAAATATGCATATAGAGATTACACTTCCCAGTGTGAATTTTTCCAGCTTACACATGTGGGATGACATCACAAAAAACCACAAGAGCAACAAATTAAACTACATGAGAATAAATACTCCTGACTAGTCTCAAAGGGGACATTTTTATGCCTTCTTAACTTTATTAGGAATTCTCAGCCTGAAACCAGAGTCCATTGTTCCGGCAAATCAATACAGCACATCAGTGTAACCCCTAAGAGAAGAGCAGCTCCAACTCTGCCCTGGGGCAGACCGTTCTTAGGAGCCTGTGATCTCCATGGTGCTAAACAGAGCCTGGTGCTGGCCCGGCGGGAATTCTCAAGCATCTCCCCGCCATCTCTCCACTGCTGTTTACAAAGCACTCTGAGCCATTGAGACCCCCGACACCCAAGAGGGCACGATGCCTGGGCAGCAACCTGACCCTTCGCAGGCTTTCAGCATGAGGCTTGTTTCATTTAAAGCGTTGGCTCTGGAGGGCTCCCCAGGTGTTCAGGGAGCAGGAAGCCTAGGGCAGGCTCGGTCTGGAGATCCTTCCTCCCTGTCATCAAACTGACCCCAACCAGACACAAGTAACCCAGATAAACGTTACACCCGGAAGTCTGCCGGTGCCGATCCTGACCCCCCGGGGTGACTCAGGCTGTGCGTCCCCCGCACGATGGCTGGCTGCCAGCTGCCATCTCTTCCCCTTCCCACAACTCGCGAGCAGGCCCTGAACGCATCTGGCCGGACACAGGCAGCCTAGGCTAATACGTCCCTTGGTCACTTCTTATCACCCAGACACAAGTTCCCAGCACGGAGGCGTCTCCCATCTCTGGCAGATCTCGGCGTTTTTACCTACTTCAGGTCAGCCAGAGTGGTGGCTGCCCCACAAGTCCACCCATCGGACACCCAAAGCCCAGCCCGCTCCAGCACCGCAGCTGGGAGCGGCGCTGCCCGCTCCCCCACCAGCCCGGAATCCAGCAGCGTCCCTCCCCCAGGAGGGATGCTAAAGACTTCTATCTGTTAGAAGGGGGAGTTGGCCATAGAAAATCAGCTCACCTCCAATTACAAAATTCTCTCGACTCACTCTACAGTTCCCACTGACATCTCTTTCTTTTAAACCTATTTGAAAACTCTGAGAGTCATACCAGTAACAACAAGCTAAGGAAGATTCGTGAGCCCCAGGCTGAGAACCATTTCTGTGCAGTGATGCTTCCAGAAGCCATTGACCTGCACATGAATAAACTCCCTGCCTTTCTTAAAGAAAACCCCCCCTGTACTTTTGGGACAGCAGTGGTGGCTTAGAATCCAGCCATTAAGAGCCTGTTCTGTATGAGAAAAATTAGGAGAAGAAACACTGCATATAAAATTGTCATAATATTCAATGATGGATTGTGATAGCCATAAGATTTAACACACAGTTAAAGGAATTCTCAATGTGATTTGGCCCTTCCAGGTTCAATCCTCTGTAACCAACCCTGATGTTTCCACATCATCTCCAAAAAACACGTCCTGTATTCTCCCTGTGATCCTCCTTCCATAAAATAATTTTTTAGTTCTCAATTTAGCACACTGTAAATCCAGAATAAAAGGATAAATCTCATGTGGTCATTTTACTTTTACAAAGAAGTGGAATGATGTCTATGTTCATGGCCTATATAAGCAAGTACTTAAGTAGGAAGGACAGTGATAGAAAAAACATATCAAACTAGAAAGAGAAAACCCTCTAAGAGTCCAAGCGGGACAAGTAGCATCAGAGTTCACTGCGCTCCTGTACCGTCTATCAGGTCAAGCGGGGAGGTTTTAAGGGAGGTGCATTGTTTGAATGTGTGTGGCACATAACTCTGTAAACCTTGGCTACAGGCTATTCAGCACGGTACAAAGTTACAGCTACTAAACCAGTACATTCATTTTCATAGTGCTGCATCCATTTATCGTGCTTTGGTTCGCTAATTTTTTTCACATACCTTTTTGTGTTACAGTCTATTACCTTTGTACACATTTCTCATATTGGGGGTCTACAGGTAACACAACCTGCTTTCCCATAGAAAAAAGTCAATGTTACGCATATTATATCCAATAAATGGTATACAGGTTAATATAAAGATGTGTCTCATTCATGACTGAGCATGTTACCAAAATGGGGGAGGGGGAACTCTCATGTAGGAAAATGTATCTATATTCTCATTCATTTATAGATGCATAAGGAACTAAGAAGGATGGTGAGCTGGAGGGTCGGGGGATGCATGCTGCAGAGTCCACATGAGCCAGTCAGGTGAGGGGAGAAGGCTGGAAAAAGTTGCCTTTATGCCTTTTCACACACACTGTGGAGCGGGGCTGGGGTGGGGTTGGGGCGGAAAACTCACCTTATTTATAGAAGAGAGAAACTCAAAAAGAAAGCAAGCAGGATTAGAAACATTTACATCAGGCATATCCAGAATAAAAATCTAATTGCAGTGGGAATGTATTACAAATTTTTTTTTGTAACTAGCATCCAATTTCATAAAGAACTGCAGTGAATACCGAGAAAAATAGATTTACAGAATGGTAACAAGTGTCCTTATTCTTACCACCCTCTACCCATGACAAACCAAGCAGGCAAAAAATAAGTACATAGAAGACCTCATAGTTAATAATGTAGCTCGATTATATATATATATATATATATATATATATATATATA